TCATCTCCAAATTTCAGTGCAAGGCTTCATTCTCCCTGTCACGGTCTCTTGCTTGTAGGTTTCCTGCTTGTGAGCAGGAAATACTGCTTTTCTGAAGGAGTGGTCAGGCACTGGGATGGGCTGCCCAGGGAGGTGGTGGAGTCACCGACCCTGGAGGTGTTCATGGAATGTTTGGATGTTGTGTTGAGGGACATGGTTTAGTGAGAACTATTGGTGATAGGTGGATGGTTGGACTGGGTGATCTTGAAGCTCTTTTCCAACCTTGGTGATTCTGTGATCCTGAGTAAGCCACCAGAATCACGGTCCTGGTCAAGAACTGAAAATACAAAATGAAGACATTAATCTCATAGTTCAACTTGTGGCATTACATGAATGCATCTAAAAATGAATTCTGTCTTAACTGCAAGGTTTGAAAACAGAGATCAGACAAAAACAGCTGGACTTAGCAATATGTAAACTACATTTTATTCCTTCTTGCACTTGGTTCCTGTTGGTATCAAGATCAGATGGTATAAAGCCAGCATCTAGTGAAAGACTTGGGCTTCCATGTCATAATCCTTTTATAAAGCTGCAGCTTTGAAGCACAGATTTGAAAATAAGACACCTTACTGCAAATTGTAGGAGCTTTTTACAACTTCAACTTTCAGTACTATTACCATTTGCAGATCTTGTGGAGTTATCACATTTAATAGCATTAAAACAACAATGGCAGAACCTTCTGTGTCATCAGCTTCAAGCTTCTGCTACTGAAAGTACCACACCAAACCATCCTTTTTATAAGTTTCCTGCATATTTTAACATTAAATTTGCCCATTCTTTTTTTTAATGAGAAAGCTCTTTTAACAACTCTCATGTTCTTTAAGAATTTTCTTTTGATTTCTTATACAAATGTAGCCATGCACAGTTTACATCTATTGTTTTTCTACTGCTAACAGCGTCCTGTGGCTCTTTCCCCTTTGCAGTATTTATAGACATAAGCCAAAATCCTTTTGAGCCTTTGTTTGGCTAGACTGATCCACCACCTGTTCCCATTTCTTCTCATCGGATAGCTTCTTCAGCTTCCCAATTATCCTAGCCATTTTCTGTCTCATTTCCAAGTCAAAACAATTTGTCATGACTGTTAGTTACCAGAATTGTACACACTCTCCCAGATGATGTTTCACTTAGGCTTACACCCAAGAATAGTTCTTGGATCTACTTCTCCCATTACATCCAACAACTGCAGGTACTTTAAGGTACTCAGGAGTCATTCTCTTATTAACCTATGGAAAAGTTTTCTCTTTCGGCTAGGGAGCTGCTCTGCATTATTCACCTTACATTTTTCTACATTACTTTCATCTATCTGATGAACTTCTGAGGAAACCATATGAGCTGGGGAGTGGAAGTTTTGAACAGAACAGGCTGGAACAGGCTGCCCAGGGAGGTGGTGGAGTCTCCTTCTCTGGAGATGTTCAAGACCTGCCTGGATGCCTACCTGTGCGACCTGCTGTAGGGAACCTGCTCTGGCAGGGGGGTTGGACTGGATGATCTCTGGAGGTCCCTTCCAACCCCTACGATTCTGTGATTCTGTGAATACTCACAGCTTCTCTTCTAAGCTGAGATGGCTGGTGTGCAGGTGAGGGAGGGTCCTTGGCAATAACCTCCTGCTCTCCTCTGCCTTGCATCCTTCCAGGTCCCAGGTCATCCATCTTCCAAAAAATCTTGCTAGAACTGTGCACATAAGCTCCTCTGGCTTCTCTTCTGCATGCAGGACAGACTCAGGCTCTAGAAATGCAGCTGGCTTCACTCAGATGGAGCTCTGCTGGCCACTTGCCCTGCTCGGTGGGAAGGAGCAACCTCCATGGGCCAGGGGGGTGAACAGAGTGTGTTGCTGGACCAGCACATCTACTCCCCACTGAATCCCCAGCTGCAGAGGAACACGGGTCACTGTCCAAAATTTTTAAAAAGGAGCTTCAGCAGGTGGACATAAAATTTCAGAAGATATGGAAACAGAATCTGTTGGAGTTCTTCAAGTTTGTTTTCCTTCTATAAATTCAGGCACTTTTCCAGGTGATAAAGCACTGACTAAAGGACTGCAATTACAGGCAAAAATTAAGCTGTGATTTCTTTCTGATGCTTTGCTGTGTCAGCAGCCAGGTGACAGCTGGCCTTCGTGTCACACAGTGAAGAGCAGCTGGGCAGCAGGAGGACTCAGGGTCAGCCTCAACAAGAGTGTGGCCTCAATGGTCTGTAGGGTCCCCCACTCCCTCCCCAGCCTGTATCTGGAGAACTCACAGGACAGATTCAGCTCAGGGGAGGCAGGTTTTGCTTTTTTCTTTTTCAGAAGCGAAGTATTTCTGCTTTTCGGAGGAGGTCGCCATTTCTGCCATTCACAATGAGACAAAGTTTTAAGAACACGTGGGCTTTTCCTAAAGACACTGATCTGCTGTATTTGCCTGCCTCTTCATCTCTTCAGTGACAGCAAGGACTTGGTTATCCTTTGTAGCTCTTCCATTGCTGACCAATTCACTTGGAGAGATCTTTGTGTGTATGATTTCTCTGTCTGGTCTTTGACAGAGAGTGGACAAGGAATACTTCAAATTCACTCGAGGAGCTTCCTACATCCCAGAGCCTCTTTGTTGAGGCACTCAGCCCCAATAAAAACATAGGGATGTGCAGGAGCTGACACACTTACCAAATAGGCTGAAAAAAAGGCAGCCAAACCTTCCAAGGAGATGGTTTTCCTTCCTGTGCCTGAAAGGAAGGATGTAAAGAGTGATGTGAGCTCAGCAGCAGGCCCCAGAGAGATGCACAGCTACAGGGTGTTTTCACCCAGGGAGCTGAACTCAGTAGGAGAACAACTTGGCTGCCTTCCACTCCAGCCTAGTGCTAAACTGGGAGGCGACACCATATCTCCCAGAGCAGTGCTGTGTGCTTGTCATATGGTGCTCCATCACCTATTTGAAAAGAAAACAAATGGCTTCTTAGAAGCTATTTATGCCCCTAGGATGAGAGGGGGCAGGACTGCTGCCCACCCAGGGAGGGAAGGGGCTGCCTTCCCCTCCAGTGGGGCATCCAATGTTAACAAGGTGTATTTAGGAGCCCTGTCTCACAGCTCTGCTAGGAAACAGGCTTTGAAATGCCTCCAACTGAAAGTGCTGTGAAGTTTATGTAGGCAGAAGGTAATTACCCAGATTAGAATTTGGCCAGCACACAGAACTGACACTTCAGGAAGGAGTGTGCCTCAGGAGCTTAAATAACCACAAGTGATTGGCGCTTCTGTGACTTTACTTTTTAGCTGAAACATTAATCTCCATCAGCAGAGCAGTGATGGAGACGGGACTGATGAACAAGGTGTCAGCAACTGCAAGCTGCAGCTTGTACTGTGTTTATTTCTCTTCCCAAATATATGAACTGTAAAGAAGTAACTCAAGCTGTCACTGGCCTGAAACTTGAATTCTATCTTCTTTTACTTTTTTCTAGGTTTTATTCTCTTTCCTCATCTGCCACTTTTCAGTATTCCTTTTCTCTGAATTACCCTCCTTTCTGATACCAGTTTTAATCTCCCGTGCAATTACTTTCCTCACTTTTCACTCTTCTCTCTTTCCTTGAAGACTTTTTTTTCCATTTCCTTGCCTTTCTCCAAGTAGTCTCCATTGTGCTTTCCCTGATTTCTTTCTTTCATTGCCTTTTCAACTATTTAGTTGCTTCTGCCATTTCATTAAACATTTTGCTGCTTCTCATCCTTCACAAAGCTGCCCAAGGTTGCAGTTCCCTCTAAACCATGGCTGCATTCTACCATTGTTCCCATCCTCAAAAGATCCCAAGTTCCAGCTTTTATTTGGGCACAGGATACTGACCCCAGAATATTGTTTTTTATGCTATGGGAGATTATGCCATTATAAAGGCACCTAGACACTACTTGTGAGTACCATATTTCCTGTGACAGTAGGTTTTGATCCTGAGAGAAGAGAAATAATGTCGGCAAGTGTTTCAGCTGCTTGTATATTGCTTTGGTTGGTTCTATTCAATGACTACCAAAGCAAAGAAATGTAAAATACAGAAAACAAATCTTCATTATTTTCTTGCTGTGACTTCTCTGGCAATTCACTACTGCACTCTTTCTCTGGTACACTTCATTGCCTTCTTTCTGGGGAAATCTGTCTGGTGAATATTTCCAGATAAAATTTTACCTGCATTTTTTTGAGAATCACTGCAATGTTGGGTAACCAAAAGTGATCTCTTCTGCATGGTTTCATGTAGAAGAGATACTAATTCTGTTACTTATTGCTGCAGTAAGTAAACTAATTAATATTCATTTGTTTTTAAAAAACAGGTATGGTTTCTTGACCTTCAGTATCTTGGCCGCTGCTTGGTTTTCTTCTTGTTAACACAGCCTTCACATTAGCTGAAGCACACAAGAACACAAGACTACATGAAGAATCTCCTGCAATGAGATGCCTTCAGCTGTGCATCTCCAAATCTCTCTGCTTCCGCCATATCCTACTGGCAATTCACACTCAGCTCATTGCCCAACTGGTATCTTACAAAAGTCCTGGTTGCTAGTCTCCTCTTTAAGTTTCTGCCTGACAGAATCTCTGCTCTGGGCTTAGTTCTGCCTGGATACAGCAGTTTGCACTTGTACAAAACGAATTTCAGTTGAATAATTTTGCTGTAACCTTTAAGTATCCATGAAAGTTTAAACCCTAAGTCACCACGAACTGCAGTTCTATTGATCACTCACCCTTACTTTTCTGTTAAATCAACATTTAGGACCTGGTACACAATACCAGAGGCCTGACACAGCCCACCTCTTGATTTGAGTTGTACGTAGCATTGTGAACCATATTCTTTTCTATGTCAGAATGAAACTGCACTAACACAAGCTCAGGGACAATCCTCCAAACCAGCTATATGTGTTGTTGAGAAAGATCTTGGGTTCCTTTGAGAGAAGTTCCTGATGTTCATGAATTTGATGCAAACTTCCAGCAGGTTTTCACGCACAAAAACTCAGGACTATGTTTCTGCTTATAAGCTTCAAACTGCATTTATTGTAAATTCATGGAAAAAAAAAAAAGAAAAGAAAAAAAAAGAGGAGGAAGAAACCAGAGATTGGTAAACTGTTACATTTCATTGCGAAGAACTTATCCAGTGATTTGCAATCTATTGAAAAGAATATCCAAATAAGCAGCAATTTCCCAATAGAAATCTCATTAAATAAAAAAGAAAATTATTTCCATATTTACAGATTATAAGGCAAATGTATCTTTAAAGCACGGTTTAGTAGTTAGTGGGTTTATTTCTTTGAAAGGAAAAGATAAATTGTTTGAATCTAGGAGAGCACTTTAGAAGCAGCTTGCTACACAGTCTATTTTAGCACCGGTGAACAGCCCAACAGCCTTCCCTTGGCCACTGCAGTGCTCTGCTTCTTCCATCATCCAGGCTTTCACCGAAGGGCTTCTGGTAACTCCACCTACAAAACGGGGAGTGGGGGAATCCTGTTACATTTGTTGTACATTCTGTATCTCAAAATTCCTTCCTGAATTGCTGGCCCTCTTCCAAGGTCTTTCTGCTAATGCATGTCCTGTAACAAGCCTGAAACTAGGGAAATGACCCACTTTCTGTCATAGTCCCTACTACATAGAAATCAGTGAGCTGAGAAAAGTCAAATCAGAGGAAAATGACCTCCTAGGTATTTTATGTTCACATTTCTAGGAGTGTTTTTATTAAATACCTGTGTTCTAAAATTAATTGAGCTCCTTCTATACCTGATCCACAGCCAGTTACTGAAATAAGATCTCTCACTTACCCGTCTTAGTTGTTTTATGCTGCTTGCTCGAATTGCTTCCATAAGGTTGTCATGGAGGGACCTTTGTGGGGTGGAGGGTCGGGAGGAAGGCCGCGAACCTTCTTCCGATTTTCTGTCTGGGACGGATTTCAGAGAATCTTTAATTTCTTTCAATATACTGTTCTCATGTTTTTTGCTTTTTTTGCCTTTTTTCTTTTTCTGTCCATTCTGTAAGGCTTTTCTTGAACTTTCTTGCTGTTTGATAACCTCAGCTATGTTCCTGGTCGGTGCTTTCTTGTCTGGAATAACGGGAGGGGGAGGAGGGGGGGGTGGGGGTGGAGGTGGGGGTGGAGGGGGTGCAGGAGCCGGAGGCTGACTTTTTGCTGGTGCTGATTTCCTCGGGAGCTTTGGAGAGGACCAAGGTGAACTCTTAGGTGAGGTGTATGGAGAGGAACGAGGAGTGCCTTTCTGCAAGACTTTGGTCTTTGGGTTGATAGCTCCATCACAACCATACTCTTGTTGCCGTTGCTCCTGCATGCGCTTTTGCCTTTGTTTATCCATATTTCTTGTCAGGATACTCGTCATGCTCATTCTTGGGCCAGCAAGGTCAAAGTGGTACCCCAGCTTGACCAGAGTAGTGTTCTCTTTTAACAGCTTAACTATGTCCATTTCCACCTGACTGCCCATGATATGCCTTTGGTTGTGGAACCGTAACTCTGTTAGAACCTTGTTATGCTGCAGAGCTCTCATGATGGCCAGTACTCCTTTGCCTGTGATAAAATTCGACTCGATATTCAGACTAGTGATATGCTGATTTACTTTTAACATACCAGCAATGGCTATTGCGACGTTGTCATCAGCATGTGTGTTAGCCAAGCTGAATGACTTAACTACAGTGTTGTCCCTCAGGGCTTGGGAGAAATGTATAAGCATCTGTGAAGTAATATTTTCAATGTTATTCAGATTAACCTCTGTGGTCTCAGGGTCATTGCTCCGAACTTTTTCCAGAGCATCCTCAATAACTGTTGGATTTCCACATGGGTGGATGGCACTGCTTTTAAAGCTCAGATTTTCAGTGTCATCATGGCCATTGAACAAGTTTTCACTGTTCTTCGTACTGCTACACTTCTTGTGTCTGGCGTGGTCAGAACTCCTGCCGTCCTCACAATTCACAGGTCTTTCACTAGCCGCAGAATTTTGCTTTTCCTCATCCTCGTCATCACTGTCATCTTCATCTTCCTCTTCCTCCTCCTCTTCTTCTTCCTCTTCATCATCCTCTTCAGTATATGCCTCCTCAGACACTTCACTATTGCTTTCTGTGAAACATTCTTCTTGAATGTCTTCTGAGTTGTCTTCTTCTTGCTCTGAATCCTGAACAGGAATGTAGGTGTGGGTGTTAAAATGATTGCAGTAATGTAACTACTGCTTTTTTTTTTTTTTTTTTTTCCAAAAATGATTATCTTGAAACTATGTAAGTTAATGCTGAAAGCTAAAAATAAATCCCCACAAACAAAGCCAGTTAAGTGAGCAGAAAACTATTTCAGCACCTAACACATTATTATCATTATTTCTTTAATTTTCTTTAAAATGCATATGCTTAATGTAAATTGGCTTAGCTCTCCCAATGTCAAAGATTACTCCCAGGAGAAAACTTGATACAAGGTATTGTGATATGGATGAACTTCATGCTGTCTATGATTTGGGATGTCTACAAGAGCCTGATATGGAACCATCCTTGCCAACAGAAACACGAGACTGCAATTTCAGAATGAATGTGATCTGTGAGCAACAAATTCCCTGATTCATAAACATTGTTGTATCAGTGCTCAGTCTCCCTTTCATTTATTAGATCCAAAAAGGTAAAGAACACCATGATTTAGAATACAAATAGTGTCTGCATGTGTCAACATGCATATTGATGTGCAAAATAATATAGAATTGCAAGAGTTACACAGAAAGTACTCTGTATGAACTAAAGATTCAGACCACACTTCAAAGCTATTTGTGAAGATCCAGATGCATCCCCACAGCTAACAAGTAATCATCTCAATAAACCACAGATCACTTCAGGTTTGCCAAGAGGTAGGACGTTGCTCCCAAACACTGCAACATGTTATAACTCATTGCCCAAGCAATCCTTCCTTTTCTAAACTCCAATGTTTTTTTGTTGGCACCAAAACACCGGTTTTGGATCCACTTCTCAAAGTTCTGTCAGGGGCACTCGGCAGTTTTGGCTGCAGAGAACAGTACTTCACGCAGGATCAGCAAGACCTGTGCCCCAGGAAAGCCCCCCTCTGCTCATGGAGAGTTCCAGAAGCATGGCCGTGTTGTTTTGGGCCCTGACCGAGCCCTCAAGCTACAACCAGCCCTCAACCTCCTGCCTGAAAAATCACTTGTGTGCTTTGTAGCCTACTGGACAAGCCACAGTGTAACCCTTTTTATTTACATTGGTAAATGCTTATACAGTTTTAGAGGTAGAATAGTGGTTGCATAAACCACCTTCTCAACATCCATGTTTCAGTCTTTGTAAAATACTAAAGGCAGAATGAGTACACCTTGTGGAGACACGGTCACTGGCTTTTATGTTTCTAGAAAACACAATTGTTACTAATGCGGTAGTTTATTTCTAGAAAACATGGGCAGCTTTAAGTTTGCTTAATTATCTGGTTCTAAAAACACAGAAAGATTAAAACAACAGTGATGATAGATTGCATGATATTGTTTTCTTGAGCAGATTTCTGTGTTGGGATGCTTGCAAAACACACAGTACTTGTTAATGTTCAGATAAATTTGACTCAAATGAAACAAGACATCAAACTGTTCCAATCCACTGTTCCTGAGAGCTCAGTGCTTGGAGGGCTTGCAGGGTCCAGCCTCATTGGCCTGCAGATTCCGAGCAGGAAGGCACTGCACTGCATATGGAAACAGCTGGGTTTATTATGACACTGAAATTTGTATCTGCAGCTTCTGCACATGTATGCAGCCTTTTAAAAGCTGAAAACACCAGTTGTCCAGGAAGCCATTCTTATGGTGTGCTTTTATCTACCCAGTCACATACACCTACAGCCTTCAGCGCAGCTACATATAGGAGCAGAAGCTTGTGCCTCTGAAAAGACTGCTGGTATATTCTGATGACACCAGATTAATGATTAAAAAAAACAACTTGAATTTTTGGAATGGCGATTCTAGGAGTAAAGGTGCTTATTTTTCCACAGCATACATTGTGAGGTTGCTGTATCTCATAGCAATCTGAAAAATAATTTTGAAATTGAGTTATTTTCTTTGCAGATCTCCGGAGGCATGCCCTGGTACTGTGGCAGCATTTCAGTAAGGGATTGCTGCCGGCAGCTTGCAGGGCTTCATCTCACTCCTTGGTAGCAACTCGATGAAAAGTTAGGCCTGAGATACTCAGTACAGAGAGAGAAATACCTCTGGAGGGCAAGGCATTCCCCCTACATGCCTATCTACAGGATTTTGCCTTCTGGTGGGGCTGATGTCTCACCACTAACTATAGAAAGGGCACAAATAGCTATCTTAAGTAAGGTGTCTAACTTTCAGACAGTTGAGGGCAAGAAGATTGCTTTCAAGAGACTCAGAAGGTGTTTCTTATTGCCTTTAGTAGAGTGAGCATTTGTGCCTTCTACATCAGCGTGTGAACATTTTCCTATTTATGAACATATTTAAAAATCCATTTCTCAGATCTGAAAATATAAAGGCTTTTCTGACTGCTGTAAGGTTTAGCCAGCACACACCATTAATGCTACACAGACATGGAAAAGCTTTATGTGACACGGAACAAGATCCATGCAGAAAGTTTTTGGAACCGTCCAGGTTTCGAATTCCAGGCTCAGCTGAAAAAAAACATTAATCTTGCCATTGCCTTCCTGGGACTTGACGAACAGGGAGTGAAGCCCACGTCTGCAAGCTGATACTAACGGTCTGATGACAGCTAGTGCTCTGTGTGCTTGCCTGCAAAGTCACTACAGCACCATTCACTAGCAAGAAAGAACACTTAAAGAAACATTTAAAGCAATCGTGACTGTTAGTATTGCAAGCTAATTTAGGTCCAAGTGATTTTTTTCTAAGGAAGTATTTATCTAATGCACTGACTGTAATTATTTCCTTGGAAATGAACTGAACTCCTGAATCAAGGCTGTTTAAAGTTAGAAGTACAGTTTTGCTTTTTTTATCTTTTCATTTTTTATCTTTTTATTTTTTATTATTATTTAAACATAGGAAAACATGTCCTGGTAAGTCAGGATTTGGTATGGAGCAGTGCGTACAAATAGAAAACATCCGCAAGTCCTTGCTTTGCTTGGAAATTACACAGAGCCTTTATTAAGACAAAAACTGCTTTCTGAATCAGCCCCAGCTCACAGTCTGTTTTTGCAAGGGCTGAGAGGATGCCAATATGACTATTAGCTTAGACTGAGGGTGCTCATCACCTGCTAAGACCGAGTCCTAGCTGTACCGTTACTTTGTAGCTCATGAATCAGCTTTCATTATGACAATTTTTATTTGGGGAAGGAATTGCCAGACAAGCAGTGAGTTGTTCTGTAGGCAACACAGGTGTTCGACGGATTCCCTGCCCAAGGCCAACTTCTGAATACCTTACAGCCACCCTCCGACCACTGCAGCTGGCAGAGTTCGGGGCCAAGGATGCTCAGCAGCACCGAGGCACGACAACCCTGCTGGCTGCAATGCCGCTTCCTTCCAGGGAACATGGAGCCTCTTGGCCACTTACTCAACTTCTGACATGCATTATATTCAAAATCCTCATTTTCATATATTCCAGGAGTCAACGTGAACATACATGTATTTAAAGCAATTAGGCTTTAAATTAAACACAGTCTAATAATTTTTTTGCTGGCAAAAGTTTTTACCCTGTCCCCTAAAATTGTATTCCTGCCATTTTTTAAATCGCTACCCATGCTTTTTTACAGGAAGTTCTTCTGCTGTCAGCTAAGATTTTAATGTACTTCCAGAGAGGGTGCAAGAACTCTCCAGGCTCATAGGCAGTGCTTTAGCAGACATAAACACATCGCTGACAATAGCCTTACCAATGCTGCAAGAGACACAAAGATCACATCGGGGAGGAACAAGCCCTAATAGTTCCAGGGCACGGAATGCCTGCTGCCTTACCTTCTCACACGCGCCCAGCCTCTCTTTTTCCAAGAGCTTCCTGGTCTCCTGCTCCCAGTAGGCCATCAGCGCTTCCCTGCTGAAAGTCCCGGTGGGTGTTTTCTCTGTCAGGCTCTTTTGCCGTTGTCCTACTGGGAGGTTGCGGTCGGGCTCGATGTCCTCCAGTTCCCGCTCCAGCTCCTTCAGCTCCTCTTCCGTGAGAGAAGCGAGGAGCTCATCCTCGTCAATGTCCTCATATTTGCTAAGCTCTCTTCTGTAGCCAAAGGTAGACATGGTCCCGTTGGGTCAGGCTGGTACGGAACTGGAAGGATCAGGCATTCACGAGGGCTGGATCGAGCACACCACGTCCCGTTTGGTCAGCAACTGTTTCCCTGCGTAGCTGAGGCACCCTTTTAAGAGTAAGCACCGGGAGCTTGCGACAATGCATGGAGGGATGAAAGCATGCTCCGTTTTAAGCATCAGACGTCAGCCAGACATCTGAACAGAAGGAATGTCCCTCCACTGGTGTTTGCAGGTCCTTGGAAGAGGGGATTACTGACACAGTGACCATTGCCTTATTTAGAGCAGCGGGCTTGCAGGGGGTGGGGAGAACACTGCCGGCCTCACGCCGGCCTCGCCTCTAACAACAGGAGGGAAGAGCCGTGAAAATCCACATAATCCCTGCCACAGGGCTGCGAGTGGAACTGGGGCCCAGTGGGGCCCCACAGCCTTGCCAGCACTCTGGTGGCACTGCCTTCACAGCGAGGCATCGGCAGGAGACTGCAGCGGTGGGGTGGCAGCTGGAGAAGGTGGCAGCCCATGCCTCACACACCGCGCATCGCTCAGTGGAGTGCCAGCTAATCCACCAGTGATGGTGGTATCAAGTCATTCCTTTGCAACTGTTGCCCAGATGTTGTTAGTGGAGCAGGCTGTGTGCTGTGGTATCTCACCAAGATTTGGGGCTGCTGTGCCCTCGTGGCTCTGGCTTCAGTAGATTGGACAGACTAGCAAATGAAGGCCTCTAGTGGGCATTTTGGTCAATGGCTGTGGCTCAGTAGAGGTGACAGGTGGCAGCTGGAGAACACCCTCACATTCACATCTGCCTTTAAATATCTGTATATATAAATCTTCATGTACATTCTTCCAATATAGGTATATGATAATGTTCTCACACACAAACATAAATATTTGGGAACAGTGTGTATATAAGTGTATGTATATTGTCACATCTTCTACTGTATTATTCTGACATTATTTTTAGAGAGAAGTATCTTCCAATATAAGGAACCACAGAATGAAAGCTTAAACTTCCCTCTATGATTTTTCTCTTTATTATTAACATAGAACAAATGAGGTATTTTGAAACACCCAGCCCAGCAATATCTGCGAACCAGTGCTGTAGGAGAGAAATGGAGAAAGAAAGACACAGTTGGTTTTGGTGCAAGGAAGAAAGATGGCATCTATAATGATAAATGTTAACATGATGAAATAATACAACTTTTTTTTATTATTATTTTTAGTTGGTAAAGTCAGTATTTAATGTAATTGAAAAAAATTTGAACTATGCTCTTGTCCAGTATTGCCTCTTTATGGCTAGTACGGATTGGGCACTAGAACTGATGCATGGTGTTTAGCCAAATTGTTTATTCAACTTAATTATGATTCATATTGCTCCACCGGAAATAGTATGGGGAGAGTGGGTTCAATTTTCATGAACACAGAATCATAGAATCATAAAATGGTTAGCATTGGAAGGGATCTCAAGGATCATGAAATTCCAGCTACCCCACCACAGGCAGGGTTGCCAACCACGATGTCAAGTACTCGACCAGATTGCCCAAGGCCACATCCAACCTGGCCTTAAACATACAGGGTAGAGGGTATCCACAGCCTCTCCGGGCAGCCTGTTCCTCACCACTCTCTCAGTAAAAAACTCCCCCAAGACATCTAATCTATATCTCCCTTCCTTTAGTTTGAAACCATTCCCTCGCTGATAAAATTACATCCACTGACATAAACTGACGCTTGCTGAACATTTATAGAGGCCAAACATTGGATGTGAGCACAGTGAGGTTGTGGGCGGTGCGTTTCAGTAGTGGTGACTGTGACATGAAAGACAAGCCATGTTCTGGATGGCCATGCTCAGCTGTCACACCTGAAATGAAGAGTGTCTTGATCAGCTCATCCAGGCATTCAGTGGATTATGACCTGGAATTGTGTACAGAGATGAACATCCGCTTCAGTGCTGTTGGAAATGGTGGTGGCAACGTTGGTATATTGCAAAGCTTGTGCCAGGTAGGTCCCCGGGATGTGAAAAGGGCAATCCTTCTCGATTTCCTGGAGTAATAGGAAACCACCAACTCTGACTGCTACCATTGCGGCTCAAACTTCCAGAGTTAGGCCAGAGAAGAAAACCTTTCTCTTGCATCACAAGACAGGCCCCATACCAATCTGAGGACTGGGGAGCATATTGCCAATCTTGGCGGGGCTGTCGTATCACACTCACCTTATGGCCTAGATTTGGCACCTCCTGACTTTCATTTCTCAGGCCAATGGAAGATGGACAGTATGGACAACATTTTTCTAGTAATGATGCCACCACAGCTGCTGTGAGTAACCTCTACTGGTGCAGATTTTTATGAGATCAGCATACAGGCTTCTGCTCATTGCTGGAATATTTGCATAAGCTACTGGTGGTGACTATGTTGAAAAATAGTTTTGTAGCTGAGAGTTTGCTCTGTCAAATCATGTTATTGTGCTCTCTGTGTCTGTTGTAGTTTCTGTGGAAATAAATAGGACGCATTACTTTTTTAGTGATCTTGGTATTTCAAAGCCAAGTGGCTTTGGAAACGTTCTGCTTTTCACAAGTTTCCGTAAACTTGTTGGCCCAGCTGTTGAAAGGAAGAGAGCTACATCAGACAGGCAGTATGCATCCTCAACCAAGGTAAAATCCACAGTTTAAACTTCACTTCTAGTCTGGTGAGCACAGGGCAAAAGACAGGAAAGCACAGTGAGCGCTGCACAACCTTGTCCTCAGGCGTGGGACGTGGCCTGCCCCCAGGACACTGGCTATTTCAGTCACAGCTCCTGAGGACAGCCTGTCGGACAGATGCGTTGGCTTGTATCAAAACGCCAGCCCACACTGCAGGAATGGCTCCAATTGCCATAGAGCATGTTAAAAACAATGCAGCCACAGCACGTCTGGGCTTTCCTGCTCCCTCCCATTGTGCATTCTTGCCTTTCCCCACCTCTTTTGCACCCCTATTTCTTACCCAGTGCCTTCCATGGCGTACAGCCCTCCTGCAGGCCCCCAGACTCCATTCCCAGTCTCCTCACTGCTGTGCCCTTTCATGCCTCCTTTCCCTGGCCTCTCCTTCCCTCACCTAATCCCACCCCCTTCTCCTGCCTCACACTCTTTCTCCATCCTCCCTCTATATGTATGTATATAGAGTTATCTATATCAATTTCCGTATACTGCTTCTGCAGGCCCAGGTGGTGGAATGCAGAGTCAAATGGCCAGAAAAGACAAAGGGTCAGCAACCTGGCATCCAAGCAGGACTGCCAGACTGGCAGACTGATGGGACAAGCTGTAGTCCTTTCTATTGAGAGACCAGCGTTACTTTTGAAAAGTGTGCACACCGTACTGTTATTGAAAAGGATGTGTCATCACCTACATTTAACAGTGCTATCAGCATTGCAAATGGGATAAAGCATGCACTTGAAGGTATTTAAAAGAACAATTTTTCAGCTGATCTTCTCTATGCCAAATTATTCTGTTGTCTATCATCTCTACTGGTGTTGTTGTAAACAGGGAGACTATCTAGAGAAAAAGACCTTTCCCTTTAGCTCTGCTGGGGAAAAGAATAAATGTGGGATGAATTCAAAGATGACTGTGAACCAAAAGCAACATTTGCTCAGGAGTCAGGCTCCACAACCTAATTCAACGACAGATTTTTCCTGCTGACCCCTGGCAGCACACCCTAAGGCCAATATGAGGGCAGATTCCAGGTCCCGATTGTAGCTTAACAACTCAGTCCCATCACAAACAATGATCAGCTTTCACTCAAAAATGTGTGCACGTGGACTGCCTTGCTGCTCAGATTCGTTTTGAAAACAGCAGGTGGGAATATCAGCTGCTGGGAAGTCAACCAGAAGTCTGGAGAACATCACATACCACAAGCCACGGGGCAACCCCTAATCTAATGTATTTTGATGGTAGGAGTGTTGGGTTGCCTTGTACTTATCCAGAAGACAGAACAGTCATAGAAATACATGTCACAGAAAATAAATGAATGGGTTCTGGTAGTGCTGATGTGTCTTGAAAGGGGACTCAAGAGGTAAACCTGGCTGCTGGGAAGCATCAGGGAAAAAAATTCATCCAGGTGCAAATAAAAACATTTTCAGACTAACAAAATCCCCAGCCTTTGATTAAAAAAAAAGAAAAGGAAAAGGCATGATGAACCTGCTTATCTCTGTCAGCACAAACTATTCTTGCCACAGTTTTGCTCAGTGTAAGCTCTTCTCCACATCTCTAATGAGTGACCACTTCCCCAGCACCAGTTTCAGCCGCCCCAAAAAGATAAATTGCTTTGTACACCATGATGATCCTAATGCTCTTGCTTTCATGTAGCTGCTCCTATCTTTCCAAAGAATCTTGGCGTGCTTTACAAACATTGCCAACAGATTTACAAGCTATATATAGAAATCATTTCACTCACTACTGATGTACAGACATTCTGGCTGTGTAGAATTACAGGGCAATATTACTCAATGGTTTGGGGCAGGAAGTAGAGGGCGCTGCATTGCAGAGAAAGGAGCAGAGGTGCACTTGAACACAGATAAAGCAGTTTTTAATTTCCATGGGATACTATTTAGGCAGCTATAGTCAGATTATTCTTCCCCCAAAAGCATGCCAAAACATATAACATCTGTCAGTGTAAGCCTCACAATACTTACAGCATTTGTAAATATACTGTAAGTCATATGTCCAGATGAGAGTATGCAGCTATTACATTTTAAGTAATTATAGAAAGTGCATGGATTTAATCTTTGTGGAATGCCAAAGGCCCAGTTCTCCTGTGTAGCTTAGCCAAACCTACCATTTGCCTTTCAGATGAAAAAACCAAACACCTCTATTTCTTTACACTCAAGGAGCAACACATGCGCTTCTATAATTAGCATTTCCTTATTTTTATGTCAGAGTATTTTTAACAGTGTGTTAGCAATATAAACAAATGATGTAAATAATAAGGAATGAAATACAAGCAACAGTAGGAAGTAAATTCTCTTTTTTATTCTCTTTATTTATGTCTATTTTTAAATAGGCCATATTAATGACGTTAGGAGTTCCGGGCACCGTGTCTACCATGCACACAATATGCAGTGTCACTGAGAAGTCATTGGCTTTGCATTAAGACTTGATCAACTGTAGAGATTTCTACTGAAAATGTGGACTCTGAAAATGAAATTAAATACTCTGTACATGTCACCAGAGCCACAATACCATATCAGCCTTTTAGCTACTAACCATGCATTTTTCCAGCTTTTCAGGAAAATCACAAAACGTAAGTTACCCGGGGAATATTCCCCCTAATCTAAGTACCTCTTTTGCTGATGTGAGTGACACTTAAGGGAATAACTCAGAGAGAAAATGTTTCCCATTGCAATATGTACCTTTAAATATTTAAACAGTAATTTGGTGCAGTTGCCCATTTGCTTCTTTCCGATCTGTTCAGCATTTGTCCTGGTAAAGGATTAGAATGGATTTCTTTGAAGACTGTTCTGAGCATTTGGAGACAGAGGGTGTGTTTTTTAATCAAGATCGTTATCTCTAGGTGCAAAAAAAGACTCCGAAGGGTAGAAAACTTGGATGACAACATTCCAGTTTTAATTCCTGCATCCTAAACAAATGATTTCCAGTGGAAAGGAAGGCAGAGAATAAGACAGAATAGAGCCATTAAGGCTGAAATTTACTTTGGCTGGTATTACTTTTCCTAATATCAACTTCTTGAGCAAAGATCTATCAGAGCTAAGGCTCATATGAATAACAAAATAAGAAGGTGGGAAGAAGGCTTTAAATGGACTGACTCAACAGGCAGACTATAGTTGTGGCTGAGTACAGCAGAGAGGTAAAGCTGGCTACACAGAAGAAGACAGAGGTAAAGAGACTGATGACCAGGTTCATATTAAAAGGAGTTCTGGAAAAACCTAAAGAGGTGAGACCTGTTCTACTACAGAGATACGCGCTCATGAGTTTACACCACTTTTCTCCCATGCAAACCATAGCTAAGTGGTTGGCTATTTTAGAAGCCTTTTTCTATCTCAAATCAGGGTTAGGAAAATCCCTTTACCTAACCAAAGGTAGACACAGAAGAGCACTACATTGTGACAGTTTCTCCATGCATGGCTTGCATGCTATCAGAAATGATCTGAGTAAAGGCAGCTCAGGCACGGAGAGCCCAAGCCAGAACACTGACACCTGCACAGAAACAGTAAAACTGTCCCCCACTTGATATGCAGAGCAAGGATCTGCCCTGCCAGCATCCAAGATTAGATGGTAGCCAGTGCATGGAAGTTTTACAGAAGGCATAAGCAACATTACGGGCTCTAAAGGCAATAGCTAGTCCTATAACTCATGGCTGTGGTTTGGTCCTACACCAAGCTATGAAAACACAGCTACAAAGTCCATCTCACTGGTGCTGGAAAGGCTGATGTAACCGCAGTTGAATGCCTGGCTCCTCAGAGATCTTATCAGCCTGGTGCAGCTGTTTCTGTCAGATTTTAAGAGAAACAGAGCCCAAATGATATCACTAATTTCATGCATTGCCCCAACTGATCAGAGTCCCTACCCCAGAGCATGCCTGAATCAAAGCCAGGACATTTATTTATGTCTAGCCAGTGTTGCCCATAGGGTAGACATGCTATGGAATTGGATTGGGATGGAACACCCAATAAGACACATCCATATAGCAGAGAAAATGAAAATCCAGCTTTACAAAGGTTCAATCAGTATTCAAATAGAGAGGAAAAGGAGTTGTTTTTTCTTAGCAATCTCTTCTCTCAGCTGGGGCTGCTGCCCTCACTTCTCTTCACACATTTCCTGCTCTCACTAGCACATATTCAACCCCACAAACGTTCAGTGCTCTCGATCTAAAACATGGGAATCAAAAGGCTTGTGTTCAATTCCTAACTTGCCAAAAGCATGGCACAAACTAAATAGTTTCCTTTCTGTATCCATATATCTCTTCTCATATTCCATTTAAAACACAGTTTTGCCCCTTGCTTCTCCATTCAGACCACAGGCACCTTGGAGGCATTCCAGATACTTTGCTATAATGTTAAATCTCCTTTAAGAGCTGAGGGGAGGGGGAAGTCTTTGATAAATTGGCATCTTCAATGTTGAGGGAAAGAAAAACTTTAACACAGGATTATGCCACAGTATTGTGGCAACAGGATGACAAATAACAAAAATGGCCCAGATATATCGTTAATAAGATAAGCACAATAAGGTCTTTTATCTTACCTAATGATATTTTATGGAGCAGTCCATGATATTTTAAACATTTCAGGCAATACTTTGCCCTAGAGCTGAATGCTCTGATGCCAGAGGCAGTGTAACTATTGCCTGAGGCGTGTATAGAGCCCTAAATATAAACCTTGGTCTATGAACTAGAATTACTAATGGAATTTGGCTCTCACCACAGAAGGGGTCTTAAGCCTCTCATCTAAAGCTCATTTGATCATGTTTCCTTCACTGGTTGCAGTGTACAGTATCAAATATGTGACCGTTCAGATCCGCACGTTGTGGTCACTGGATTCTCAGAAACTACCACTATTTAAGTCTTATTAAGCCCTTATTTCTGTTTAGAAATCCCCACACAGTGAAACCAGCTCATAGATCGGTGTGCCCAAGATGAGTTGGCCTGGGGAGCCCTGCCTGCGGACAGCCATGTTGGTTTCACTGCGCGTTCAGCCTTAGGCCATGTGTGGAGCCATCCACCACCTGGGACATCCTGCTGGCAGTGACTCAGTGTGTCTGCCAGATACCAAGAGATTTCACACAAATAACCAAATTCTTTCTCTTTATCCTAGTAAAAATGTCTGGCAAAGCAACAGAGGATGGGTCTTGGAAATTCAGATGAGGATTAGCTCTAGTGAGAGCAGAAGCAACAACTAAGCCTTCTTTCATAACACTCTTCATGTCCTTGACCAATAATCTTCACTTCTTCCATTTTATCCTGTAAATATATTGTGAGAAAGGACAGACCCACAAATGACTGATACATCTGCTTTGGGGAGGGGAATTTTTCAATTCTGATTGAGGTGTTAAGTTACATACGCCAAGCACACACTCTGGAGAACATGGAATGCCAGCCTAAGGAATGGGGCAGAAGGATGCTTCGGCTGATCTTGTGTGTGTGTGTATGTGTAGCAAAAGAACAAGTGAATCCACTTTTAATGGAATAATATAAAGGATATTTAGTCAGATGTGTTTTATTCTGGGCACGCACAGAAACATGCTGCCAAGTATATCGCAGTATGTGACTAAGGGTCTTGTTTAGTCTGGTTGAGAAATGAACTGACAAATCTCTGTAGGAATCATGATTAAATTATGATATTGTACCATTTCTCAACTAAGGGGAAAAGCTACTTGATTTCCTGCTTGGTTTGCCAGTCAGAATCTACTCTTTTTCTAAAGAAGCCTGATGTCCCTCAATCTTTGCTGGGCATTAAAACTTTCTATGCTGACATACTGTACTGACAAGTAGATGTACCTGGGAACACTGATTGGTAAAAATAGCTAAAAAGACTCTTTGAAGTGTTTGGGGAATTTTATAATAGAATAATGATTTTCCAGATACGAAATGTGCTGTATTTCCTGCCAATTACATGTCAGAGAACTGCATTTAGAGGTTTCATTTTCCTTACCAAGTTAAATTAGGCATTTCTTCTCTTTTCTACATGAACTCATGCCACAAGCTAAGATGAGTGTGCATTTATCATCCTCACAGGGAAGACTACCAGGAAAATCTTTTGTCTTTTATTCATCCACATTCCCATTTAGAGTGATTCTTTTCTACATAATTATTATAGTGCTCTTATTGTGATTTTAGCCTAGATTTGAAAAGTACAATCTTGTGTTAAAACATACTAGGTTTGAAGAAAAATTTGTGCCCATCAAAGAACTAATTACAATACATAGCAGAATGTTGTGAACATATATAAAACATAGAATCATAGAATCATCAAGCAAATCTTCAGACAGTAGAAAATAGAAAAGAAATTAAAATAGTGCACAGTTGTTATTAAAAACTATTCTGAATGTATCTCTTTTCCATACAGATCATATTCTTTATATAGGATGTAGTTCTGGAGAACTGGTGGAAGGGGAAACTTCTTCATGGATGACAGCTTCTGCAGTCTCCACAACCCCATGAGTTTACGTATCTTCAGGCGACACAGATGTTTCAATGGGCGAGGATTGTCTGAAAATAATAGTGAGAGAGAAATAACAATGTTGTTAACTATGGCTGATGACTGATTGCCCTAAAAAAATTAATATCAAAATCTACCTTTGGGCATGATTTTGCCGCTTCTGAATATGTGATGTTACATGCTGTTGATATTAATCAAACTTCTTTTGGATTTCTCCTAACACTACATTCCTCCTTTTTAGAAATATGCACACCGTGCTATGTCACCAAAGCTGGACATTATTTAATGTAATCAATGGTAACTGATAAATGATCTCTCCTTTCTCTCTGTGTATATTGAAAAAATTTGCAGGTTTAAACCAGCTGTGCAAATGACCTGGCACTTCCATTTCTGCTCAGTAGAGCAGAAATAAGGCACTGAGACCAGACAGTGCTTGGATCTAAACCAAAACTTCTTACCAGACTTCACATCACTGGAAGATTTTGGTTTGACTTAGCTTTCCTGAACACTTCAATAATTTTCAACGCACCTGTTATAGTTAAGACAACAAAATTATTTTGATGTGCCTATGACACTAAAACTAAATAAAAAAAACTTCCTCTGCATGCCAGTATAAAACATCAAAATAAAATCAAATGCCAGATTAAAATTTAAATGTTGTTCTCCTTTATAATTGATGTTGAACAAAATTCTATTAAAAAACTGCAAACAACCATCAAATACAATTAGCTCCTGCAAAGAGAGCTTTTCCTTTATTTCTCAACTTTTTAAAGTCAAGGTGGATGAAACCTATTTCTGGTGCCACCTGCTGTAAAATATCTAAACTAGGTTGTAGAGCTTCAAAAGAGAAAGCATATATAGAAGTATTAATTACTGAACGGCAACTCTAAATGTAGATCTTGTCAATCAGGAATTGATGGTACACTGTGATGGTAACTCATTGTCAACATCTCTCATCTTGAACATAACAGCATCTGAAACACGCTCTTATGATAATGCTGGAATGATTAATAGACTTGGCTGATCAATGGAGGAAAAAAAAGATAAAGTATCAGCAATATTCCTCCATAAAAAATATGTTTCATAGCTGTGCAATGATTGGCACTGTAATGCTTCATGTGGAGGATGAGAAGTACCCCAATGGTCTTGCACAATTGAAGAGGCTTCCCACACACCACTGACATTCCACAGGAGACTGGTAAGGTGCACAGCAGGTTCATTCACACTTATATTCCAGTCCAATTAACTGTGACCAGTGGCAACTCGAGACAGATCTGTCTCAATCTGAGAAATGGATGACAGACACAACCTGGCTCTTAAGCTAGTACACACTTGTATTGCTACTGCATTTTAGACTAATATGACCTGGTAAAAGCAATTACAGTCTCCTGTAATAAAATATAACATAATTATTTGGAAGTTAGATATTTACCCAATATCTGACGTATCTCTGCCCATTCCTTCTGTGTTTCTAGAACAAACTTAATTTTTGTGCATAGTGGAACATAATCCATGTAATCTATAAAAATACGAACAACTTTTCCTGTTAAGTGTTTCAACCACGGAACAGAGATGAAGTCACAGAACTGAAAGAGAAAGCATATCAAAGAATAATTTCAAAATATGTGCAGTGGAATGCCAAAATAACACATTGTAAAGCAATTACAAAAGGTAATTAAAACAAAGTATTAGGAATGAGCTTTAATAGCTATGAATGGATGCTTATGTAAATTACTTTACATTTGCTTCCATGCTTAGTCTTTGTGATCTAGTCTTTGTTTGGACCGGAACTGAAATAACAATAGCCTGATTTGCAGTTTCGTAAATCTTCCTTACTAAATCTCTAATGTACAGGTACCAAACTAAATCACTCTACATAAATAATTTTCCCTATCTCAGAATCAAAAATGAAAAATAGCTGTTTGAGTTTTTTAGGTTGTTTTAAGAGGATTTTGCAAGTATATGCTTAATTCTGCACAATAATATGGAATTTTTAAAGCTGGCTAATGGGAAGAAGAAAGCAAAAAGAAGGAAGGTATGTATTTACTGGATTATCCCTTATTACAGAAGAAGTCCACCCTGGGAGAATCTCTTCCTCTGGAGTTGACCACACAAAAGAATTTCCGAAGACATCTTGATGCATACAGTCAAAACACAACTCCACATTGTATCCATGATTCAGTAACAGCCTTAGCATCACCTCATCATTCAAGGCATACTGGATGGCACTGGGAAAATGCGTATCATTAACCATCATAAAGTAACAATTGACATTTGCTCCATAAGATAGAAGCAGCCTTACTATTTCGTGGTTACCACCTCTTACTGCCACAAGAAGACAGTTTAAAGGATCCTTGTTCGGATTTGCACCAGCTTTCAGTAATATTTCAGTGCAAAGAATGTCATTGTTAGAAACAGCAAAATAGAGTGCAGTTTTCCTTTCATCATCATAACTATTTGAGATGTGATCATCCAAGACAGTATTGACATCAAAATCACTTTCAATAAGGAGCTCTAGGCACTGTGAATTTTGGCCATCTGCAGCTGAGTGAACAGGGCTTATCCCACTTTTCTGGATTGCAGTTTGGGATGTGACTGGAATGAGATACTTCAGGACCCTAAAAAACAGTGAAGACAATAAGGCATCACTCCTCTGCATGAAGAAAATGACCACCACACAGCTATATGTTAATTTACCAAATAGACACTTCACACAGGAAAATCCTAACACAGAAGCACCTGTTCAGGAAGTATCAAATGGAACCTTGTCTTTAAGATATTTCAGCGCTTTTCACTTAGCTCTAAAGCAGTATATTTTACATTTTCTTTTGTTTCTGCTAAAATAACTCCTAGAAGTTGATTCAAGTTGATGCGACGTAGCCATTTCTGAAATACAAGTGGTCTGTACATTTTCATGTTTAACAGTGTTCTTCAGCGTGACCCTCAGGCACACTATATCTTAAAGAGAATGTGAAGTACAAACTCATACTCACAGGTAATGCCCCTCATAAGCTGCCTTATGTATGGGAAGCAGTCCTGCCTTATTGGGCACGTTGCCACTTCCTCCATATTCCAGAAGAAGCGATATGCAGTCTGGATTTCCTCCTCCTGCCGCTTCAAATAGTATTGATGAACCATCATCTGCTAAGGCCTGGACATCACCACCTTGAAGGATAGAGAGTTTAGAATTACATCCAAATTGATTTTCAGATCAACATAAAAACAAGCCCAGAATATTCTCCCTCATATTTTTAAACGTATTTATATTAAAACGTTATGTAAACAACAAACATTTCTTGTGACAAAATTAGCCTTTAAAGGCAAAAAGAAATCTTGTATAGATATAAATCCAGATGTATGAACACCCTCACTTGGGTGGGGTCTGCTTAGGCCTCAAGGGTTATAACTGAGGGTTTTCAAAAGCCTAGTCTATTTAAATAAATATTTAACTGCATCAATTAGTATCAATATAATTATGTACACTGTAGAAAGGAATGAAACAGATGAAGAAAATGGGACAGGAGCAAGTAGAAGAAGGAAAAGTAGGACAGTAGCTGTAGGTCCCTCCTTGATTGAAACTGACTGGTATCAACTCCATCATTCCTTTGACATGGATTATGGTAGAGTAGGAATGCTCATATATGCTTCCTTTCTTTCCAAGAAACCAAATCTAATCATTCATCGCTCCTACTTCTCTCCTTTTCCATTACCACTCTAGAACACCCCAGCAACCAGGCACGATGCATGCCAGAGCAGAATCTCAATTCTTTTTTACGTGGTGGCTACATACCTTTATGAATGAGATGCTCCAGCACATCGCAGTGACCATATTCAGCAGCAACACCTAATGGTGTTACTCCATACCCATCCTTAAGGTTCGCATTTCCACCGTTCTTCAGAAGAAGAGAAACAATATCTTTGCGTCCCTGTTTTGCAGCTTCATGCATTGCGGACCAACGTTTTACACATGGCTGGTGGATCCTGCAGTTGTGTTTAATCAGAGTAGAGACCATTTCAAAAGAACCACTTCTTACAGCTTGAAGATATTAAAAAAGGGAAAAAAAAAATACTATTATATTTTCAAGCACGTTGTCTTGAAATTTAAAGATATCCAGTAAGTTTAGAGAATTTTTTTCTTCTGTACTAATATGAGGAAATTCAAAAGACCTGCAGTCCTAGGAATCTGGGGGTCCAATTCAATGGTAAATCAATGATGATGTGAGCTGCATGGGAAATTCAAGCTCGTAGTCACAGATAATGCCTCTCATATGCTGTTTAGTGTATAAGAAGTAGTCCTTATCAGGTTCTTTGCCTAAACCATCTTAATCTGTAAGAAATATCAGTTAGGAATATGGAAGACAAAAGTGGCATCAGATCAATTGCAAGGAAAAGCAACAATAAAAACAATAAAGTATTAGACAATAGTCCTTACTTGTAAAATTGATGCCAACATTACAGTATCCACTGAAAATCTCAGTTGTGATTTAGTCATCTGGTAGCTCTAATCCTAGCATGTATTCAGTGGCTGTTATCAGCCAAAACAACATTGACATCTGCTATCCCATATTCTGACCTTCTGACGTGCTAAGTTCGAAATTTCCATATATAACTACACCTGCAAATTATCCACATATAAAACAGTGATCCAGATAGTAGTCTAATCTCACATCTGAACTATCTTTTGGAATAGCAGATCTCTTCTCTGACTGGCAAGGCAGGTGAGAAAGGTCAGGGTTAGCAAATTTAACTTCAGTGAATGTCCTTTTAAACATGTAAGAAGGTTTTTATGAAGCAAAAGTCTTCATAATTACTTGCATCTGCTTAGAAGAGAAGCATTACTGAACACAGTGGGAAGTAGAAATTATCACGCTAGATTTTTTTTTCAGCATTTATCTTTACACTGAAGAGCCCTTCAATTCAGAATTTTAGAATTAAAAAGGGAAGCTAGGTGATTTTCAGCTCTCAACATCATCTATTAAGTGTTAAACATCTGGTTCTCTATTTCACTAAGGCTAAAATGTGTGATGCACAGCAATACCTGCGTCCACGTTCTCAGCTTTAAGTGGCACAAAACCACAAAAAGCATCACATAAACAGTTCACATCTGCCAAGCCTCATTTCCAGGAATTTGTATAGAGAAATATTTAGGAAAATAAATTACCACTATAAGGGGAATTCTTTTTACATCTGCCCTAATTATTCTTTCCAAGTTTCATTAAAACAAGAACTGAAAATAACTTAAAAGTTATAGACTTAAAATTACTGAAAAGAGCTGAAACAACGGAAAGCAAGAAACCCCAAAGGAAAGCTTCAGAAAAGCCTCAGAGCCTTAAAATGTTAACTTATCGACTTATCAAAAATTCATAGAACTTAAGATTTTAATACTGGCTATTGTAATATATATTGCAGTTCATTATGCAGTATAATGGTAATTTGATGTATACATGAGAATTGCATTAACCTCAGAGATTTATTCTCTTCAGAAGAATGGAGATATTTGGCTTTCAACAGCAACTAGAAGCTGATATCTGCTAAGCTGCCCACGTGCAACGATGCTCATTTAAGTCTACCAATAGCATAAAATCTTACAAAGAATCAGCTTTCTTGAGATTGGAGTGTTATTTAGAAATGCAGTACGAGCTTGCTTTCAGTGCAAGAAGGAAGGGAGACGAGATGGGAGATTTTGCAATCGAAAATGCCGTTCTACTCTTGAAGAAACCATCCAAAAAATATAAAAATCTTCAGTAACCTCCAGACCTCCACAGAAAGCACGTTCAAGTTAAAGTAACGGCTTGTTCTTGTACCTGACTTAAACTTTAAGATGGACAGCTTGCTAATGGCCTTACAGCATTTGAAGACACAGAGAAGATGCCTCAAACAAAACAGAGGTTGCATTCTCAGGATTATCTTTACATGCAACTCAGGAATGACTTCAGTAAAATTAACGCTGAAGTGAACACTGGGTACATTTCACTTCATCTACCAACAGCCAGCAAAACAGCCCAACAGAGTATTGGAGTGAGTAAGAATTACACACACTGACAAGGATTCACAGAAATGGAGCTAACTTCCCCTTGTCAGGGTTGGCTCTCAAGTCTGACGAAGCAGCTGTGTCAGTTTGGTGAAGTGGATGGGCTGCAGCACAGGGAAAGGAGGCAGTTACCAATCAGGAGCGGAGTCTCGCCTTTGTCATTTGTGGTGTTGGGCCAAACTCCTTTTTCCAGCAACGCTCGGACGTTTTCCACAAAGCCAGCTTTGGCTGCCAAAGTTAGTGGTGTTTCTCCATCAGATGTTTTGTATTCCCACATTGTTTTATACGATGCTAGAAGTAAGAAAGTGAGGAAACACAAAACTAATTTAAAGCGCAATGCTGTAAATGCACACATGTAAACCAGCAGTCCTTAGATGCTTTAAGTCTTTAATCTTTATGAAAATTGCTTGTAATTATGTTTATCTTAATCTAACTTGTACCTCCAGACTGAATACTGAATATTCATTTTAGCTATGTTATTTCCGTAGGATTCTGAACAAAGCATTAAATAAGACTTCAAGCTCTTTCCTAGTGTAAATTGATGTAACATCCCAAAAATAAAATTTGCCTGAGATGTAAATGACATCTGTAAGATGCTTCATAGAGGATCTCTTCATGCTTCTTTAGTAATCAGTTCTAGCCTGTTGTTGTCCATGTCTGGCTTTTTGTTCTCTGTTTCTTTGCTACTTCCTCTGTCCCATGAGACATCCTCATTTACTCACCATCTAAAATGATTTCCAATATTTGCTGAATTGGCTGAGCTGCAGCCTCGTGCAGAGGAAACCATCCTCTTTCATCAGCTTCATCCAAAGCATATTTCCATTTCACAAGATCTTGGAGCCCAAATATCTGACCTTAAGAAATCCAACAGATAAGTGAGATGCAGTTGAAAAATTTTATGAGGAGAGCACAGTTTCACAAAGGGACAGAAGGGGTTTTACCTTCCTTTATGGCTGTTACAATTTTCCTGTTTTCTTCACTAGGTGGCACAAAACTACCCAAAAGAGAACAGAAAATAGAAAATACAAACACATAGTAAATACATTACATTATTTATTCAATATTTTCCATGAGCTTCTCATCTGAGCCAACTTTCCTTTATATATCATCTATAGTCCCCATTAGCCTTGTGATCTCTTAAGTTACACCTGTACCAAGGACCTTCAGAGTAGCCAAAGTTCTCAAGGGAGGTGCAGGTCCTGCCTGGCTTCCTGAGCAGCCTTGTGTCCCTTCCCCTATCCCCCCTGGTGTGGCTGTTTCCAGGAGGAGCTGTGAACTGCTCTGACAAAGCTCTGAATTTGGTAAAGAATTCTGTGGATTTAAAAGGCGTATTTGCCACACAGTACAGAAATGAGCCCCTCAGACTCAGAAACTTTATGCAGCAAATGAATACATGATGGCATCAGAATGTCAATATCTGTTAATGAATGAGTTTGATTATGTCAATTATGTAGTTTTCCCTGAAAAACAACTGTCAGTTTTTTTAACAGTATTACTCAAACCTCCATAAACAGAAGTTAAATGCTGCTTTCTGCTAGTACACTGAGTATCTTAAAAAAACCAGAATAGGTTAAACTTAAAAACTAGATTAGATTAAAAAGAAGAAAAAAAAAAAAAAAAGGAGCAGCCAAGTGAAAAGGAAGATTCACGCAAACACTGATGACCAAGAGTCAAATTCTCATGAGATCCCACAGGAAATTAAGGCTGACAGTGCTCCCAGACTTACAGTTCTACATCTCGGGTAGTGATGCCCTGGAACAGGTTGCCCAAGGAGGTTTTGGATGCTGGCAACCCTGCACACAGCAGGGAGTTGAAACTAGATGATCATTGTGGTCCTTTTCAACCCAGGCCATTCTATGATATCCCTTTCAGTCCCAAGATAGATCAACCTACAATATGTGTTTATGGGATTATTGCCAAAGAACCTCTCCGCTTAGAGAAAGTTCGTTTTTGTTTCATGTGTACCTTTTCACAAGAATGGTCTAAAAAGCTACGGGAAGTATTACTTTACCAAGTGAGTCCCGTCTCCCTTAACATCTCTGCAACTCCAGAAGATGGGTTGCTCCAGATGGCAAAGCAGAGCAGAAGCCTGCTCTGGATCTCAGCTTTGTCTCCAGCACAGAGCCCCTCGTGATGCCAGGGAGATGATTTTCATCATCAATCATCAATCAAAGGACTCAGTCAGTCTAATTTAATGTCACATCTGAACTCTTGCTGAACACTTTTGTAGGATCTTTTGGTTTTCTCGTTTGCAGTTTTCTTGTACGTCTAGATTCCCGAGTGCACAGGGGAAAATTGAGTGAGTACAGAGAAGTTCACTAACAAGTTTCTGTTTTGTTTATTCTTTCAGGCAGTGTTTCACTGAGCAAAACACATAACAGCCAAACCGAGAACTGCTTTAAGGACAATATCAAGCACTAAATGTCAGTATCACAAAACACTAAAATTATGGCATAACCTCTGAATTCACAGTACCTGTCACTAAAGCTGGACATTCGTGGTTTGGCTGCATTTGATTCTTGAATGCTAAGCTGTATGGCATACTCAGTGAGCAGATTTTCGACCACATCTTCACTTTCATCCATCATTTTTTATGGCAAATCATATTCATATGCTGTTTTGAAATACACACAAAAATATACTGGTTAGGATTAGTACACTACTTAAGGTTGTTGTTTTTGTTTTTGTTTTAAATAATAAAACTGTTTCCATCAATTTAATTTCACAGCATCTTATTGAGTTTTGCTTCTATTGTTCACAAACGTTCACAAATGGTTTAATCCTGCAAGTTGATCATACCATCCAACTTCACTTATTCCAAGAGGGATTAAGAGCACAGAACAGCTTGTAGGATACTCAAATGCAGGACAGCAAGAAAATTCTTCTATTTTAAATATATATATATTGCTTTTCTACCTCCACTTTATCTCCACACAATTAGGGGAAGAAATTAGTCATCATCTAAATGTGTAGCTCTTTTCTGGTCATACAACTCTCATGCCCATTTTGCCAGCTATCCCCTGCTTTGTTGTAATCCCTAGAACTGATAATGCCACAGGCAACCCAGAGCTCTGCTTCAACACAGACTTAGCCAGGAAGGTGTTAAGTATGCAGTGTTTCAAAATTGTTGTGTGTGCCATTTTCAAATTATCACACAAAAATTAATAGTATATTGTAAAATGGTAAATTTAGTAAGGTAGCAAATGACTGACATGGCAGAGTAAGTAGAATGTAAATGGCTCACCACAGCACAAGTGCTGGACACATAGCTAGAGGTCTATACATGCCTTGAGAGCCTGATTTGCTATATCACTGCTGGTAATACGCTGTGCTAAAGTGACGAGGTCCGACAGAAGCGTGGATGTTCCACTGGGATCACACAGGAGTGTAGCAGCATAGCCAGCATGAGAGCAGCAGCAGCAGTGTCCCTCTTACGCAATGCAGCAGAGAAAAGGCTAAAAAGCTCAGCAGCAAAAATTTCTTCCAGCCAGCTACGGGTATTTGGCAGTGACTAGAACCCGGCACTAGGTCACAAGAAACAATTACAAATGCTTACTCTACATTTTAGTTGCTTTATGTTGAATATTTTACTTAAATAACATTTGGAGTAATCTGATACCATTCTGATATTGTTTTCTATTTCTACCTGAAAAAAGGGATTGCTTGCCATTGTTTTGCATACAAAAAACCCAAAAAGTTTTGCCATCTTCAAGTCATTGTTTTTACCCCCAAACACCTGAACAACCTGCTAATAATGTGTTCCAAGTCTTTCCCTGGAAGAAGCATATCAAGAACTTATCATTTTTAAACACATAGATAAGCACTTATCATTTTCAAACACATAAAGTTAATAACGTGTGTTCATGTTACTCTCATTTCTTATCCTTAAAATAAACCAGACAAACCTAGCTTTTCTCTCTAGAAATAGAAGGCCCTTAGGCATGCAAAGAGGTTATTCACAGCAATAAAATAATAAAAATAATAATAATTAAAAAATAGCATTCTAAGTTTGGTCTCAGTCTATTAAATATTACAGTTTTAAACGATTTCACCGTTAGTCTAATTGGCGAGCACAACGTATAGCCTCACCTTTTCAACCCATTATCTTGCCACTGTTAGTCTGGGGCCTGCATTTTGAACAGCCAGGAATAGAGACCTGCAAGCTAATGTGTCCTGTGATATTTCTAAAATTAAATACACAGTTGCTTGATAAATTAAGGTCTGACCTTGTACAACTGTAACACAAGCAGACTCAACCCACAGGAAAGTATTACACATGACTTCTCTAAAATCTCATCAAATGTAACATGAGGTCTGGATGGTATAGTAAGATTATCTGTGCCCTCATTGGTTCAACAACTCTTAAAGTAATTCCCAACTTGGCGTCAAGGATAACATTAACATCCTGTAATAAACATAAATGTAACATAAATTAAAAGGAATCTGGGAAGCTTTAGCATTTAACTATTTGTAGATTTGTAAATTCTGACAAATTATATGGCCAAATAGTAATCACTATATCTGAAGTTGATATGACGCAAAGCTTTATAGATTTGATGATAGTCAATTATAGCACCTACTTGTCTAGATTCAATAACTTGAAATTGGTCAAAAAAGCAGGAGACACAGTACAGAACACAAATGCAAGGTCCTGCACTGCACCTTGGTCAGGGCAATCCCAAGCACATACAGGTTGGGCAAAGAATGGCTTGAGAGCAGCTCTGAGGAGAAGGAATTGGGGATGTCAGTTGATAAAAGACTCAACATGAGTCAGCAATCTGTGCTTGCAGCCCAGAAGGCCAATTGTATCCTGGGTTGGATCAAGAGAAATGTGACCAGCAGAAAGAAGGAGCAGATTGTGCATCTCTGCTCTGCTCTCATGAGAACCCACCTGGAGTACTGTGTCCAGCTCTGGGGCCCCAGCACAAGAAGGACATTGGGCTGTTCAAGTTGGTCCAGAGGAGGGCCACAAAGATGATCAGAGGGCTGGAGCACCTCTCCTATGGGGACAGGCTGAGAGAGCTGGGGCTTTTCTGCCTGAAGAACAGAAGGCTACAGGGAGACCTTACACCAGCCTTCCAGTACCTGAAGGGGCCTACAGAAAAACTGGGGATGAACTTTTTACATGGGCACGTAGTGATAGCATGCGGGGTAATGGCTTTAAACTGGAAGAGAGTAGATATAGATTAGATATCAGGAAGAAATTCTTTAGTGTGAGGGTGAGACACTGGAACAGGTTCCCTAGAGAGGCTGTGGATGCCCCCTGCCTTGATGCATTGAAGGCCAGGCTGGATAGGGCTCCGAGCAACCTGGTCTAGAGGGAGGTGTCCCTGCCTTATAGCAGCGGTTGGAACTAGATGATCTTCAGTGTCCTTTCCAACCCAAACCATTCTATGATTCCGTCATTCTATAGTGCAAGTAGAAGTGATATAAAAACACAGTAACCCAGGAGCAACACGAAGAACAACTGTACCCAGAAAATGGAAGAAATTGGATCTTCTTTTTCCCGCCAGCTCATTTTTTCCCTCAGTCATATCACTGATATCTTAGTCTCGTTTTTGTTTCAATCAGATCTGTTACTATCTTTTCCAAAATGAATACACAAGAAGGAAAACAAGCTGAAACAATAAATGTACAACGTGTTGTTAATATAAGTATCTGATACAATGAAATTTTACACTTCTGATAGAACAGAATGTCAGAACTCCATTACTCTTCTGTGCTATGTAATTCATCCATGTGTATAGAACTGTGAAACTGTAAACTTGACCAATGTGTGACGTGCACCTAATCTTTGGACGCAAGATCAGGAAAGTCATTCAATGATGATATACTATTAAATGCAATTTCTGTTAGTGTGATACAGACAAGTGTGGTGAGCCTTCAAAATACAGTGCAATAGAAACAGGCATGAACAGTGCCAGTGCCCTGCTCAACTGCTGGCTAACAGCTGATAAGAACAGGAATATATATATGAATATATATATGAAAAATATTTTAAATATATAGATTTATAATATCTATAAAGAACATAAAGATTTTAAATGTTCATCTCATTTCCTTCATGTAACTAGGGTGCTATCACAACTAACACATATCAATATGACACACATGGCATTGTTTTGCTTTTCAGTTTGTTATTAATACTATTTTGTCCAAAATCCACTGATAACATAAAACGCCTTTTTATTGCCAATTTATCTTCTTCTATCACAAGTCCCTTAATGTGGTGGGTTTTTTACTTTTGCTCTCGCACACATTAACTCAGCAATTGTCTGTTTACCATATTCTACTCCAGTGAATCTCACTTTTGATTCTGCAGCTCCTAGCCAACCAATTCCATGAAGCAAATTCGTAAGAGGCATATGCACACTGTATTATGAAACAAATCCCAGAATATTTACCCAACTTTATGAGTATTCGCAAGGTAGAAATCTTCTGACCTTAGTAAGACCTGATTACCCAATGCACACATACCAATTTGGTATTTTTTTTTAACATGTCTGCTGTAGAAAAACAGTATTGATATGCTGGAAACTTCTCCAAGGGCTCAATACTGAAGCATTTCATGAAAGAATAACAGAAGTTGACAGATATTTAAAAGACAGTCACTATACTAAAATCTCATGTTTGGTAGACAAAATCATTTTTATTTCAAGGAGAAGAATGACATAAACTGGGCTTGTTTAGCTTGGAGAAGAGAAGGCTCCAGGGAGACCTCATTGTGACCTTCCAATACTTGAAGGGAGTATATAAATAGCAGGGAAACAATTGTTTACGAGAGTGGACAGCGATAGAACAAGGGCGAATGGTTTTGAATTGAGACAGGGGAGGTTTAGGTTAGATATTAGGAGGAAGTTTTACACACAGAGGGTGGTGACGCACTGTTCACAGGTTGCCCAAGGAGGTTGTGGATGCCCCATCCCTGCAGGCATTCAAAGCCAGCCTGGATGTGGCTCTGGGCAGCCTGGTCCACTGGTTGGCGATCCTGTACATAGCTTAACTAGATGATCATTGTGGTCCTTTTCAACCTAGGCCATTCTATGATTCTATGAAGAGCACTCTCAGCTGTGGCCAAACACGCTTTTGAAGCTTTAAGGCTTTATATAGTTGTTGGACTCATGAAGCGAGCTTTGAATCAGCTCTGGAGCTTGTATGCTGAAAAACCACTGGAAACCGTGTTGGGAAACAACACACAAAGCGAAGACTACAAACACACGACCGTGCAGTTCCTAGCAGTTACAGCTAGCTATTACTCTGTACAGATCAGCTGCTCCCACCAGCCGTGTGGAGCACACCAACCACCGGTGCACAGCCATCCCACGGCACCCGCCCTCGGACCGCGCTCCGCCCCAGGCGAACGCTGTGCTCGAGGGCCAGAAGCACAGCTCGGAGAACAGGCAGAACTAACGTAACTGCCAGAGCCAGCACCCCAGCGGTCCCGCCGCACGCTCGCCTTCCTTCCGTTCGACTCCGCACATGCACAGCACCCCGCTTAGCTCACGACGCATACGCACAGCCACGCCGCGTTCGAACCGCGCATGCGCAAAGCCATACAGGGCGGCCCCGCTCTTGGATGAGTGCGACTACAGCGCATGCGCGGTCCAGCGCCCTTCGCTATGTCCTCTAACTGGTGACCTGAGACGCCCGCGCGCTGTCGCGCATGCGCCTAGCGGCCCAGTCGGCGGCGGTGCCCGCGGCGCCCGGTGGAGCAGCGCGGCGGCGCAGTTATGGCGGGGGCGCTGAGGAAGGTGAGCTAGGAGTTATGAGGCTTTTAGCTGGGCTACGGCCGCTCTTCTGAGAGGGAACGGGGACGCCGGAACGAAGGGCTGGGAACGAGCGGGCATCGTGGGATAAAGGGTTGCGGGGGGCAGGGCTGCGTGCCCCTGTGCGTGGCGATGGGCCCGGAGCGCGGCGCTGCGCCGAGGTCACCGCGCCGGGCTGCCGGCTGTACAGAGCGCGGCGCTCGGAACGCTGCGCGTTCGTGGCAGCGTCGGGCGGGAGAGAGGCTCGCGTCACGGGCAGGGCTGGGGTGGGGGCGGCGCGCCGGTGCGGAACGGCGTGGAAGCGATGGCTTTGGTGTAATAAATGGTTGTGTGTGTGCTTTGTGCAGACCACTGGGCTCGTGGGATTGGCCGTGGCTGAAAACCCCCATGAGGTACGTTGTGTGTCCTGTTCCCAGCGTAGTGCGTGCCGCCAGCGAGAGCGTTTCTGTGAAGGGTTTTTGCGTGTAGGTGCAGTGTGTGCTGCAAATGCTGATTTCAGAACCTTTCTGTCATAAGTGCTGTAATGAACCAGTGCTTCACTTATCTTTAATCTCCAAAGTAAAAGTGAAGAACTTTCTAAATGCAGTCCTTCGTAAATGTAACATCCAGTTCCCAGAATTGTAGAGTCTGGGAGGGACGTCTAGAGATCATCTAGTGCAACTCCCGTGCCAAAGCAGGCTCTCTAGACCAGGTTACACAGGTAGGTGTCCAGGTGGGTCTTGAGCATCTCCAGAGAAGGAGACTCCACAGCCTCTCCGGGCAGCCTGTGCCAGTGCTTTGTCACCCTTACTGTGAAGAAGTTCTTGCACACGTTTGTGGAGAACTTCCTATACTTCAGTTTGTTGTTTCCCCTTGTCCTTGTGAAAAGAGTTTGGCCTCATCCCTTTGCCTCCCGCACTTCACATACTTATGTACATTGATCAGATCCCCTCTCAGTCTTCTTTTCTCAAGGCTGAACAGGCTCAGGTCGCTTAACCTTTCCTCATGAGAGAGGTGCTCCAGGCCCTTTATCATCTCTGTGGCCCTTTGCTGGACTCTTTCCAGAAGGGCCATATCTGTTTTGTACTGGAGAGCTCAGAACTGGACACAGTACTCCAGGTGAGGCCTCACCAGGCCAGAGTAGAGGGGGAGGATCGCCTCCCTCTCCCTGCTGACCACGCTCCTTTAAATGCACCCTGGGATCCCATTGGCTTTCTCGGTCACCAAGGCACACTGCTGGCTCATGGCACCCACAGAATTCAGAAGCATACAGGTGTTTTCCCACCCCGCTGTGCTGTGTTTCCAAAAAGTGCTGAAATAACTTCTATCTGTGCCAAGAGAGAAGGCTGATTTCACCCTAAATAGGCACCATTTGTTGCAAAGCAGGCTCAGGGCTTTGTGATGGCAAGCACTGCAATACCT